AACTATGTTGTTTAATATTGATCCAAACAAAAGCTTCAGATTGCTAAAATTCTGAGCTTGTTTCATAAATATTTGCAAAGGTTTTTTTAGACCACAAAAAATGCAAGAAGATGGTGATGGTATTCGTGCAGCAATTTTCGCTAAAGCTCAATAAGCAATTTACCTATTTATTGCCTACGAAGTCTAGAGAACATTAAGATAAACAGTAACTTTATTCTTTTATGTTATCCCTAGTAGATAAAATGTCACTTTGAACGCTTCATATGAATGGACAAAACTCAACCATTATTGTATGATTGTGGATAAAAATAATTATTTAAATAGAGCAATCAATGAGCCATCACCTCAAAGAAGGCAATGTTCAACCATCTTGCCTATATATTAGTATATATGACTAGTACAGGCTCTTAAATAGTGCCGTTTGAATTTGGCAATAAAATTTACATCCTGGGTACTTGTGAAACACTGATGACACTCATTATAAGTACATATCGCTCTATACAGAGTGAGTTACAAACTAACCAAATTGGACACTTTTAAAGGGAAACACTTTCCTATAAGAGATATCAATTTCTATAAGAGAGCTAATTTTTTTATCAAAAACATGATGGTAAAAACCGCACATCGATATCTGTTTCGTAGTTACGGGGTGTTTTTCAAAAATATGCATTTTAAAAAATCGCTGTAACTTTTCTGCTCTGGAAAATTTTGCATTTTTATGAAGACATTCCCGAAGCACCTTTTTACATAAAATTCAATATTTTAAGTTATTTTTTTTTTAATTAATAAGTTATTAACAGAAAATTCGATTTTTTATATGGGGCATCTTGTCTTTTTTTAATCCATCGAATACAACTTAAAATTACTTTTCAAAAAATAGAGCATACTTGACATTTTGCTCAATTCTTCTTGGAGATATAACCCGGCCGTAATGCAGAAAAATGTTTACCGGTTGCTGTGAGAGCAGTAATTAAAATGAACATAATATTTGCTATAAAACATGCAGAATTGTATAACATTTTAAACTATATTTAACAACAAGAACACATTTAAACTATATATCTAATAACAATAATAATAAATAGACATGAGATTTTCCTACACGAGGTGTTTGAAATGTTGCCCTCTTATGCACAGACGGGACTGTTTCTGAACATTGCTGCATTACTAGGTACTTCTAATTCTTGTCTAGGGTATACGAGCAATTTAAAAATAAGAATCTTTATATTAGTCTTCCTCAAACATAAAAATCCATATGCCCAAATTCTGGCGGCCTCGATGACCAACGACTGCGACCTTGGTTAATGATGGTTGATAAATCATCCAAAGTGATAAGTATAAATCGCCTTTCAACACTGTTTCATCCAAAGTGTACACTAAAATTGAACGATAAAACAAGTTGACGGTCTTCCTACTTTTGTTGAAAGAGCGTTTAACGAACCGTTGATTCATCCAGATTAAACGAAAGTGAAAAATGTAAACAGCCGACGCCGACCCGTGGGCCAACCTCGATATAGAAAACACTGGGAGAGGTGGCAGCCTGCGGAAGATAAAACAGTGAACTGATGGAAACTGGATGAAAATATGTACAAGAATGTTCAATTTGGATGAATTCAATTTGAGTGATTCATTTTGGTTGTACATCCAAAGTGACACAGTGTAAACTCTGCTTTAGCTATTCAATTATTCTCGAAATTGACTGCAAAACATTGCTGCAAAAAATTTCAGCGTTGTGAGGTGCCTCGTCCTGATCGAAAAATATGTTTTCGAATTCCATTAGGGCCACTTTTAACTAGTAGATAAACAAGGCTAGTAGGCTTTGGATCCCTTATTGATGATTTCATTAATAAGGGATCCAATGCCTACTAGCACCGCTACTAGTTAAAAGTGGCCAACTTTTAAAAATTCTGTATTTCGAACGAGACTCGTACAAAATATCAGAAGTGCTATATTTTTGGAAAGGTAATTTTAAGTTCTTTTCAGTGGATTAAAAATATACAGTGTGTGTTAAATAAAAAATATTTTTTTTGTTGATAACTCTTAAATTGTTAATTTTAAAAAATATATACTTAAACCATTGAATTCTACGTAAAAAGTTGCGGCAACGGCCTAGCTACGTTGAAACATCGGTTCTCATTAGAACACCGAAGTTAAGCGACGTAAGACGATGCTGGTGGATGGACGGGTGACCGGTTCGAAAGTCTGTATCGTGCTGTTGTCCAAGGGAAAACAAGGATACACACTGTTCATTCACGCCGCCGCGCGCCGGTTCGAGGCCGGATGAGATCGGATATCTCATGAGTAAGAGTTAATTTAGACACTTCCTAAGTCGGTAGGCCACTGACCATGATATGGCCGAGGACCGCCGTTCGGATTCCGCGTAAACAAAGTAGGCCCCGTCCAGATTAGCCCTGGCAGCAAAAAGGAGACGTTAACTGAAATCTTTACTTTACTTTTAAAAAGGTGCTTTGGAAATGTTTTCATAAAAATATAAACTTTTCCATAGCAACAAAGTTACAGTGATTTGTTAAAAATGCACATTTTTGAAAAACACCCCGCAAGTCCGAAACGGTATCGGATATCGTTGTGCGGTTTTAACCTATAACCTAACCTAACCATCATATTTGTGATAAAAATTGAGCTCTAGGCAGCCAAATACCGATATTAGTTGTTTTCGTCTACATTCGATAGAAAAGGGTTAAATTTGGCCCACCCTGTACATAGTATGAGATTACAAGGAAAATAATATTCAAATAAAAAAAACTTTTCACTATAAAATTAGTTAAAAAATAAGGATGGTACCAAAAAATTTTAATACAGTAAAAAATCAATTCCTCTGATCGAATTCAGCCGGTTAAGGTGAATCTTCGTAGCAGGATGTAGTCGAAGAGAAACGCACACATACGCACACGCACGCACACAGTTCTAGTTCTTCTTCTACCCCTCCCTCTTCGACACGTCCGTAACCTTAACAGTACCAGGGATTTCTTTTTACCTGGTCCCCACCAGCCAGCCTAGCTTCAGTCAAGATCTGTACCGCGAAACTCTACGGTTTTCGACATGAAAATAGCGGCATTTCTGGTAAGTTTTTGACAGTTTTTCTGGTGGAATATTCGTACTAATATCTCCTATATTCTCGTAGAAAATTAGGCTTTTTAAATTGTTATAAATTAATATTTTTTACATTGAAAATTGTATGGTTTTGTAAGGGTTTCGAGGTTGTTTTCGAATGCTGTACGTAAATAACTTGTTTTTGTTTACGTTTGTTTGGTGGACATAAAAAAGGGTATGGAATTCTTGGGTATTCTCGACATGGATTAACCTCTAGGTGAATAAATGAATATAGGGTTTCAGTTTTAAATTAATTTTAAACTTCTTTATGATGATAATTTGCTAGGTCATTCCTGTCCACTTCACTATGAACAATCATTATTAAAACGATATATTTTTCGATATATCTTCTGAAATTAACTGTATTATTATTATATTTGCCACTCCTAATTAAAATCTGGGAAATTGATTATAAAGTGTAATTTTATAATTTCTTTCATTTTTCTCTAATTTTCTTGCCATTTTGCTGAATTTATAATAGATTTTCAATAAGAATTTTTAATAAGAATTTTTATGAATTTTCCTGCATAAATTTGGATGGTCAGAATTAAAATGGATCAAGTCCAGTTTTCTACTATTTTAATATAATCGTCTTTATACGTTTATAGAATTATTATAGAATATTGTTTACTTCTGAACCGCTCATTTAAAATATATTTTTTTATAATACACATCTATATTAAACTATCATATCCAAAAGTATTCTTTGGATACGATAGTATAGTAAAAACGGTTTTTGCCACTGACAAAGGAGATATAAAGATTATTTTGAAATAACTACTATGCCAAATTTTAAATGAAATATGTAAGAATTTCCCTTTACTGTCCTTTACAAACGGGCCTTTATAAATATTAAAATCAGATATACAGAGTCGCTGATAATGCACGGAAACAGTCGATTATTAGGTAAAATATAAGAGGTACCGCAATATAAAAGTTATGGGTTTTTTAAATATCTATTAGCGGGTAATAAATTTAAGTATACAGGGTCGGTCATAAAGTCGTGGCACATCAAAGTTTCATTTTTTTAAATGGAACCCCCCGTATATTATTGCATATTTCGGTTATTCCTCCAATTTTAAGCAAAAATCGAGATATACACAATGCACTTTAAACCAACCGTTTCCAAGTCATTGACTTTTGAAAATATCACTTAAAGAATTCGATTTAATTAATTTTGATGTGTTCGGTTTCATTTAACGATGCCATTCTGCGGAAATTGTGATACTTAATAATATTTGACATTTGTTTTCAATTTATCATTTATACATGTATAAAATGAGATTATATCAAGTCTGGAAAGTACAAAATTTTCGTTTAACATTTCAAAATCAAAACTTCATAATTCGGCATTAAACAGCCTACACAATTTTGCTAACAAGAGAAAAAAGTCAGTAGCGCACACGTTTTTTTTTAGAAAAATAATGGTGAATCTGTGAAATAATGGTGAATCTGTGGACACTTCTTTAGCATTAAAATATGTTGCACTTAGAGTAACTTTTACCCTCAAAATTTCATTCGAATCGATAGAAGCGCTTGGAAAAAAATATAATAAATAAAAAAAAATAAAGAGTTTAACCCCCTAGCTACGAAACAAAGCAGAATCGGACCTATATTCATATAAAAAATAAATCCTATTTTTACGTGAAGAATCTCTCTCCACGAGAAATGGCATGTTTCTTGAAACTACCTTGACAACTACCCTGTAGGTAGACCATAAAATGTTTTCAAAATTTTCTAGATTTATTTTGTTGCCATTTGCTATCGTTTGATATCATTTTATTTAGAATAAATTATTGATCTGGCAGAAAATAGGCAAAATTTATTTTAGCCAGCACTTGAGATTTGAGATATGCAAAACACGAGTATAATAATACCTATAAGGTTCAATCAGTAATGATAAAGCTTATCTTCTGATTATACGTTAATAGATTTAAATATTATGATAAAAACGCTACCTGTTAGTTCACCAGAAATTTGAGTTAGAATAAGTAATTTCTAAAACAAATATTCTTCAAAAAGGTTTTAGCCTCTCATACGATCTGTGCAGTAAAACTCTTCATTTCCGTTATGAAAGTAGCGCCAATTCTGGTAAGTTTTTGCACAAACCATACACAAAGGCACCGAGAACAAAGTGGTTTTTATTATTTTTCATTGGTATTAATACAGCCTACATGTAGCAATATTGAAAACCATATTTTTAAATTATTTTTATAAGTAAATATTGATATTATACTATTTATTTTGTAATCTGATTTTTCTGATTATGGTATCACTGTGAAGATAAATTTATTATAATTATTTTTTTTATTATTTTAATGGCTTATATTTTTCTGTTAGGTGGGTTTATACCGGGGTAAATCAAAATGTTATTTTTTGCAATAAATTCAAAATACCCTGTGGAAAAAATATGCCGGACATTAAGCTATTTGCATAGCCCTTTAAAAGAGTTAAGGCTAGCATTAGCGGAGAAATCTATGTTAATGCTAGCCATAGCTTATGTAACGTTTGTGGTGGAATAGGATGACGACGAACAGCTCTTAGTTCTACTAAGTTCTATCGCACAAGTGATTGATTGGATTGAGATCGGGATTACAAGGAGGCCATTCCAGGTACTTGTTAACCTACTCGTACTTCTAACTCGTTATCCCGCGCAACTTGGATCCTGCAGGGGTCCTGGCGTCATCATGCATCAGTAGAACCGGATTTTTAAGCACACAATTTTAAAAAAAGTGCTTGAAAAAGTTACATTTTTTCTCAAAAAAAGCATCATTTTCGGCAAAAAAAGCAAACATAAGTTGGAGTTAAAATAAAACAAAAAATAGTTTTTGTTACGAAACTTTGTTACTAATAATCTAATCAGTCAAGTACGGGTATAATATCCATTAATTAGATTAATAATCACAATAATAAAATAAAACATTACTGAAAACTGCAGAAATAAAACACATAACATAATCATAATAACATTAATAATAACAGAATAACAACACTTTATAATAACTTAACGATTATCTATTCATTTTGAAAACAACTTATAACTAAATATTGTTTTAAATGTTCCATGGTAAAATTATGTCTTTTATCGTCCAACAGATATTTATATTTGGAAAAGCTTCTTTCGACGTCCACACTATAGTAACATGGGCGTATTTGTAACGTTTGAAATTATATCTGGATCAATATAAGTCTTTGTCATTTTTTCCACATAAAACTGACTTTTAATCAATTTTTGAAATCCCTTATTTTTTTCAAAAACCACATTCATTTTATTTTGAATTAAACCGCCAATATGTCCCGGAACAGCATTAATAGTGTTTTTAAAATTCTCTAGCAAAGCAACTGAATCCACTAAAGAAACTTGTTGCTTTTCTAGCAACTTTATTGTTTTGCTAATAAAAGCTAAATTGGCTTTGATAAAAATCAAATTGGTTTGGAGCTCTTTATTATTAAGAACGATTTGGCACTCTTATATTGATTTAATAGTGCTTTCTGAAAATTCAAAAATGAGATATTTAAAAGTCTGGAAATTTTCTGCATAATATATAGCAACATCAAGCCATGTACCCCATCCCCTTAAAAATCCTAAATGACAAAGACTATCCAGTAATAACTTATTTAAAAAGTTTTAATTAAATTATTATATTAAGTTTTAATTCTAAGTCATTTTCCAAAATACAATGGGCGTAATATCATTTTTATTATTACTAAGAATGGAATTTGTTAGATAGACTTTTCCCTTTTACTACTAAAGGTATCGGATTAACCTTCATTTATGGGCTATTTTAATCAAAATAATAATAATTTGTTAAAAGTTATTGAAAAAAAAGAAAGTATTAAAGTAGGTTAAATAATGATGGTTTGTAAAGTTGGTTCAAAAAGTATTGAAAAGTGATACATTTTGTTCTTATAATAAAAAAAAAATAGCAGAGACATTAAGCTTAAGGGGAAAAATGAAAATACCTTTTAAAAAAGCAGCTATTTTTAGGGTTGGAAAAATCAGATTGTTTTATTTAATTGTTTTTTTAGGATTTTTATCAATTTATACAGTTTTTTCTTAAATATTAACAGATTTTTTGGTAGCTAAATTGGATGGATTCAATTAAAAACTGAGTTAATTAAAAACCAGTTTTTTCTTAAATATTAACAGATTTTTTGGTAGCTAAATTAACAGATTTATTAATAGATTTTTTGGTAGCTAAATTGCTATATTAACAGATTTTAGATAGCTATATTAACAGATTTTTTGGTAGCTAAATTGGATGGATTCAATTAAAAACTGATTTTTTAAGAAAAAAAATAAACACATTAAAAAATTCAAAAACAATTGATAACTTGAATAGATTTTGATTTTTAGCCAATATTTTTTGCTAGCAATGTTTAAAATAAGCAAAAATAAGTTTGAAACTAAAAAATAAGTTCGAAATTAAGAAAAAAGCATATTTTTTGCAAAAAAAATTGTACCCTACGTGATATACGTGACTCCACCGCTACGTTACCGTACCTAGACCCTCGTAGTGACATATTATGCGCTCTACTGCTTCAGGATCTGTATCGTACGGTCTGCAGCAAAGACTTCTTTGATCCAGGTTGAGCTATGTCCTGTTAAGAGACCTGTTGTAATCCGCACTTTATTTCTCTGAATATTAGCAGTTCCTTTGTAGTTTCAGAATTAGGTCCTTGGATCTTGGTCCTTGCCATGCCTAATCCCCTGTCTGTTTCTCCAGTGAATGGTCTTTTCCCTGATCCAGAGTTTTACTGCACAATTGGCTCATACATTGTCTTGACATATAATTTTTTGCAGAATAAAACACTAATTCACCACAATACATCAACTCTTTACTTTTGCACTGGACGTGCGTTTCGCTAACCATGTTAGCATCTACAACAGAAGATTAAGATCAAGATTAAAACTAAACTAATATTTAAAATTGAGCGTAATATAAGAGTTCAGTTGGCACTGACCAAGCATGGCAAAAATATAAGAACGTCAAAATCTCATATATTACTTCTCTATTAGACTCTCTCATATGAGAGCATCAAAATTAAAAACATGTAAAGATAATATAAACAGAGATAATTAATTATCCATTTCCTTCCAGTTCTATGTTCCTATTGCTCTAGTCTCGGTAATTAATTGTCTAATCGTTACGCTCGGTTGGTTTTGAACCGCTTTACTTAATTTTGTCATGCTTAGTAAGTGCCAACTGAGCGCCTATATTACGCTGAATTTTAGATATTAGTTTAGCTTTAATCAGAGCTGCTGATTACCATAGCTTGTCTAACGAAACGCGTGTCCAAGTGTTTTAATGTATTTTAGTAAATAGTGTTTAAATTTGCTGCTGTAACATCAAAGGCTCCAACCACCAGTTGTAATATAATTTTTTATCAAAATTCTGTTCAAAGTGGTACATATTATTATGAATTAATATATTAATATGGTTTCAGTTGGAACCATACCGATTTTTGATGCAGATTTTGGTATATTTGATGCATATAAGATGCATTAAAAGCAAGCACTTAATTTTTAATCATTTGGTAACGTTAGAATTGTTATTGTTTTGGTATTCAAGTGTAATTGGTAATTTTTATATTATCACAATCCATTATTGTAATATTTTGATTGTTTAATAAAAAAATGTATATTATGAAACAAAATATTTCTTTTACAGTAATTATTACATATTAATTAAATAAACATAAAATTATTATTACTTTTAACAACTCAAAACCAACTGAAGGGTCCAGGGGAAAAATGATAAGCACCAATTTCTTAATTTTAGAGTTCTACAATACTCTAGTACAGGTTTTCTTAAAGTGGGGTCCACGGACCCCTTAGGGGTCCATAGCATGTGTATCAGGAGTCCGCATTACGCTTCTTCTTACAGTGCCATACTCTATATAGAGCGTCGGTTACCTGTCACATGTACTAGTGATGTGTGTCATCAGTGTTTCACAAGTACACGGGACCTACAGTTTATCGTCGAATCCGAACGGCACTATTTGAGAGGCTGTACAAGGCAAATATACTCAAGGTGGTTTGCCATTGCCTTCCTTGAGGTAGCGGCTCGTTGGTCGCTCTATTTAGATAAGTAAATATTTTTATTTAAATAAATAAAGCCGTACTGGCTGGGGATCGAACCCAGTACCTTCCGCTCCGCAGATCGACACACTAACGCTGGAGCTACGGCGGGCCATTACGCCAGTTAAGTGTAAACATATTTATTAACGTTTTCTTTTTATGTAAATAAGGCTTTTTTTATTTTCCTCTATTATTTCTGATAGGGGTCCGTGGAACTGTAGAAATTGCGAAAGTGGTGCGTGACTGCATAAAGTTTAAGAAACCCTGCTCTAGTAGGTCTAGCTGGTCCCTACAAAATATATAAACTCTGCAAGGCAATAAACTGTTAAATCTTATGATATATTTTATTGCCTAGTAAAAATATACATACAGGGAAAGTACCTGATAATCACCAGCCGTCCAGGGCTCTCCTGTAAAATTAGAATTTTTAAAACACGCGTTTATTATGTTTTTCCCTTGGACCCTTCAATTATAATTCTTTCTTTTTTAATATTTATTAGTATACGTCTCTATTTTCGCTGTAAAACTATATTCAAATATTTAATGTACTTATGTATTTCTTTTCTATAATATTATTAACGAACGAAATACACTTATTTTAATAATTCATTTTCTGTATCGTAATTCTATATATTTTTCACACATAATTGTATATTGAGGTCAGGTGAGAAAATTATAATACCCACTATAAACCTAGGACTTGTACAACATCGATCTATTCCTATTAGTTATACTTATTAACCCAGAATTTTTTATTTAAATTATTATTATTGAACTTTACACTATGTGATCATTAAACTTTCATTTATATAGTTAATGTGGCAATATCATATGGGAAAATAATTTGAAAAATAATTCCAATAACTTATGGTATATCAAAGGTTCAATATCATTAAAACGTTTATTGATCAACCATACTGTTTATGAGGAGAGAAAACAATTCTTATGAGAATTGCACAATAGAATTGAGTTTAACTATCAAGTCGAAACCCGTTTAATCCAGAGATAA